TTTATTTTCTCATTTAACCAAAAGTCCAAAGGAAGGGTGGTTTGATATAGAGGTTCACCATGTCTTCAGGACTGGTGTTCCATTTCTCTGCCATTCTTGCAACTTTGCTGTCCTCCATGGGGCAGCTTCCTTAGGCTGGCTTCCTTCATGGAAACAAAATGGCTGCAGCAGATCCAGGCCTAACATCCACACACCCCACGGTCCAGATGACACAGTATTCCAAGCGAAGCTTCTGAGGGTCACTCTATTAGACTGGTTTAAGTCATGTGCCTGCTCCTGGTCCAGTCACTGTGGCCAAGGGCATGGAACTCACTGATCATCTTTGCCTCTGTCACAACTCTACCCCTGAAGCTAAGGGTAGATCAGATGTTTAGAATGGAGAAATGAATGCAGCCAACAGATGTCTGCTATACATGGGAAGCAGAGTGCCTAGTCGAGCTTGCTGAAACATTCGCCAACACACACGGGCATTGGTTACAGCTAGAAGAAGCTCCTGAGTCTTCCGTGAGAAGTATCATAACCAACTATAGACAGAAGAGGATCCCAGCTTTTGAAAACCAAGAGGCAAAAACCTATTCTTAAAAGAAATTGTATCAACCTTCATCATATGTTGACTTCTGGAATACATTAAACCAAAAGGTCCGCTGCCTTAGTTTAGACACGGAACACTGAACAGGGGGCTTCCCTAGGGAGGAGCTAGGTGGGACTAGCCAGGCCCCCAATTTAACAGAGATCCCACCCTCCTACTTGGAATCTTCTCGAAGGAATCTGTGCAGGGGTTCCCAGCCCTTTCTAGCTTCTGGATGAGTTTCTTTCTTGGAAGGATGACAACATCCTTGTGGTTTCAGTCGGATTCCTCCTTGCCCACCCCCTCTTCACCCAACCTAAATGGATGGATGGAGACAGTCACATCAGACAAGCCCACTCCTTCATGGCCCCCTGGAAGGATTAGCTCCCTCTCCTCCTGAACAGGTTACAAAATGATTACATTTGCTGGCTTGGCCAGACCCCCTATCTTGTTGGAGAAGGGGGGTGATAGTGTATCACTCAGGATAGCTTATGTTATGCTGCAGTAACAAACAAGCCCAAAATCTCATAGGCTTAATACAAGTCCACTGTGAGTCCAGGTGAGTCTCCTGGGCAGTGGTCCTCCATGTGATGACGCAGGGATCTAGGCAGAAGGCATCTCCACCATCCTGTAACTACACTCCTGGGACATATAGCCTCCTAAATCAGAACAGCAAGGGAAGAGCCAGCCAGAGAGTCAAACACTGGAAGTGAAATGCCTGCACCTGGAAGTCCCACACAGCACTTTTGCTCACATTTCATTGGCTAAAACAAGTCATACAGCCATGCCTAACATCAAGGAACAGGTAAATGCAGTCTGTGCCTGGAAGTAGAGGAGAACTGGATGCTGGTGAGTAGTAGGGCCCACTACTGTGGAATTCTTGGGCTCCTCAAGCAAGAGCAGAGAGCTGTGCCAGGTGCCACACCTGCCTCCTTCCCTTCAGCCAGTCTTCTGTGATTCCGGCTGCCACACGCAGGAGCTTGTTTCCAGAGGGGGAGGCGATGGAAAGATTAGCCGCTCCCTGTGTTCCACGCAGGGATCAGTATTTTCAATAGTACTTTGTGAGTTCAGCCTCAAAGTAAATGGTTAATTCATCTTGTATCAACAGCACTGTGATTCATAATGTAAACTTGGAGAATCCTTGATGTTTCAGGCCCACATTCCTTTTAATTTGGCTCTGCATTCTTTTAAAGCCACAGTGTGCTCACTTAATAGAATGCAGCATGCAAATGCACAAGTTTTTGCCTGGAGGCAATTTAGCCTGGCTGTTTCAATGGATGTCTTCTTTCAAGTGTATATTCTTTCTTAAATTATTTACTGGGTAAACACACTTTGCATTTTCAAAAGGGAGATTAAGACTGCTTGCTGCAGACCTAGTTGAACATAAAGCCCCTGTTGCCCAAAGTTAGAAGGAAGTTACTTTGGGCTTTCCCCAAAGTTCCTTCTTTGGCTCACTAGTTGGGAATCCCTCTTCCTGGCTCGTTTTTTCTGATTGTCTCCGAACTCTGCATTCCTTTCTGCTTTGCCTACAGCAATACCTGCCAGCTGCCCCTGGCTGTGAGTGTTCTCTGGGCTTCCTCAGCAATGCCAGCCTTTGTTTCCCCTCCAGGCTGGCTCTGTCCTATCCACTCCAGGGCTCCAACAGTTCCCTTTTCTGGTCCTTAGAGGGGCTGTATCTGCCCAACACCTTTGAGGTCCAAAGCTGGGTTGGTAGCCCTGCCAGAGTCAAGTTTCTTTCCAGCTCGTTCCAGTTATTTTTTTGCCCCTCTATACCCTTCATCCCAAATATCTACCAGCCTCTGGTTTGAAAGCAAATGCCATCTCCCGCTGACCTCCTCCATCACCAGCACACACCTCAGTTCCAAGAGGGCCCTTCTTCTCTAGCCTTGGGGAGAAGACACAGTAGTGCTCTGAGAAAGCACAATGGTGTAAAGGTCCATCTTTAGGGAATTTACTTCGGCTTTTAGCTTCAGCCTTTTCTATGCAGACTCCCTGAGATATTCCTGCAAGTTGAATTTGCACGGATTTCTTCTCCATTCTCCCTTAAGTGGAGTGATTAGAATAACGGGCGGCTGTCCTTTCATTATCATCCTTTGGACACTTCTCTTCCGAGTGCCTGTGTGACACTAACCGTGCCATTTGCGGGGGCTGCAGAGGTGACTGTGGATGTACCAAGGACGGAGTGGACAATTTGGTCTTTTTGACCGGCTGCGACCTAACGGTGGGGTCGCCCGTCTTGGGGTTGGGTGTGTGCTGAGTGAATTAAAGATACAAGCTGTTAGGAAAGATCATGGGTGAAGTGCACTCCTCTTTGCCTTGAGATGAGGGAAAGCCCAATTAGGAAGGCCAGGGAAGAGCCGGGGATTTTGGGATTCCTGTGTATTCGTTTTTCTAACCATGCCTCAGATTAAACAAGTAACACTCACAGTTAATCCGTTATAAATTAGTATCATAGATGCCTTGGGGCCCTCAACCCACAAATAAAATGGTTGTCAACCAAGAGACACACTACCGGATATTATTTAAGGCAGAATTTTAAAGAGTTTTCATGCTTTTAATCTGTTTCACTGCTGAGTTTCAATTTTGCTGATTTCCTTTGCAAGTCTGATGTGGGTGACTGTGGTAAAGAGAGATTTTGACAGTGACTTGGGCAAACAGGATGCAGAGGGACTGGTCTGAAGACTTCTGCCCCTTCTAGAGAAAAGGGGGAAAAAATCAATTTAGGTTTTGAATCGAGCCACCAAGTAGCACCAATCAGTGTTCATAATTAGCCTCACTTTAACAAGCCGAGAAGTCCTGTTTTTATTTATTTATTTTGCGGACAGAGACTCTTCCTGCCTCCTAAGTAAATATGGCCTGTTAAGTCTGAATTAGCTGTCATCGCATAAGAATTAATGTCAGGGCACAGCCTTTCTAGTGGGGAAGGGAGAAATAAACGAGACAGATCGTAGCTGAGCCTTCCGTGATAAATGAGGACCAAGCAGATCATTCATCTCCTTCGAGGAAAGTGGACACAGGCACTAAAGCAGTTTTGCGGAAGACGTGTCAGCAAATGTGATCATTTTGTAACCTGTCAGGAGGAGAGGGAGCTAGTCCTTCCAGGGGGCCACGAAGGAGTGGGCTTGTCTGATGTGACTGTCTCTATCCATCCATTTAGGTTGGGGGAAGAGGGGGTGGGCAAGGAGGAATCCGACTGAAACCACAAGGATGTTGTCATCCTTCCAAGAAAGAAACTCATCCAGAAGCTAGAAAAGGCTGCAAACACCCTGCACAGATTACTTCGAGAAGATTCCAAGTGGGAGGGTGGGGTCTCTGTTAAATTGGGGGCCTGGCTAGTCCCACCTAGCTCCTCCCTAGGGAAGCCCCCTGTTCAGTGTTCCGTGTCTAGACTAAGGCAGCGGACCTTTTTCTGCTTGCTATTTGGAGGACAGGAGGATGGGATTTGCCATGGGGTCTTAGCCAGATAGACAGCCGGCTAGACCGCCAACCACTCTGTCTCTCTTTCTGTGTGGTGGATCTGTGAGAGGAGCATGGGCATGGCTGTTTGACCTAGGTTCCCTTTGAAACTCTCAACAAAGCATTCTGATGTTTGACCCCTTTTCTCAGAGTGAGGTAACAAATTATGAATCAAATTCATCAGAAGCTCTCTGCAGGCATCTGGGAGCGTGTGTCTCCGCTCTGGTTCTCCTTCTGAGCTCCCAGTTCCCCATCAGCATTTGGCAGAGCCAGAGCTGAGGGCCCACCAACCAAAGCAAAGGAGGCACTCGGGTACTTTGTAGTATTTCTCATTTCCATCTTTCTTTGCTATGGAGCAAATGTAACGTTTCCTCCTGGCGTAACGGTGCCTGAGCCCCAGTGACAGATGACGATTTCACAGCCTGAGCTACAAGTTTGACACTTGCTTCTTGATCCTGTCCTTTTCTTCCTAAGTCTCTCTTTTACTTTTCCCTGGGTATTTTTGTACAGGTAAGTGCCTTACTGACATATGTTTCCTTGGAGTCTTTTACTTTAACAGGAAACACTGCAAAAAAATGAGGCTTGTCTCACATTTTAAATTAAAAAGAGAAGCTTGCATGGGGCCCTTGATCACTTAAAGATTACTACATGGTACTCTGAGCCTGGAAAGCCATTTGATTCGCTGTAGCTTTGCAGTAAGCATTTCTGCAGGTGCAGTGTGACAGTGGAGTCAGTCGTTTCCTGGTGGATTGTTCGTAGAACCAAAAAACTGCATGGTCTGTCTCTCTCCCTCTCTCACACACACACACACACACACACACACACACACACTGGGCTCCCTCTCACACACACACACACCGGGCTCCCCACCCCTGCCTGCAAAGCCATCGTTTGATTAGTCAGCTTAGTCTTGGATGATCTTTAGAATGTCCTCCTTTTATCTGTGTGAAATTTTTTTTCCTTTGCTTTCTCCTAGAATCATCCAGAACCGCATCCTGGTTGTCATCCTGGGCATCATCCTGGTCATCACCATCCTGACGGCGATCACTTTTTCTGTCAGAAAACCCTGATATGTCTGCTCTTCTTTGATAAACAGCAACAACGGCTTATTCTGAGTAATTAAGACAAAACGGTCACATGAATCATTCTTTTGCGCTGACAGGCCCTGAGTGACCCTCCCTCTCTCTCACCACCATTCAGCTGAAGTGCAAAGAGTGTAAAAATATTTTCTATTCCTGTGTGCATGTGGGTTGGCTTCCTTTTCTAGATTTGTCTTCACCCGGATTTGTTTTTCATAGGGGAAGGTGAATGTTTATTTGCCATTTCTTCATCTACTGACCCACATAGCCTTGGTGACATTGTTCCTTGCCCTGTGGACATGGCAGGGGTCCTCTCCCTGTTTGGGAGAGGGCATGATGAGTCAGTCACGGGGCTTCTGATGGGCTGTGCTGTTTGTCACACACCTCTTATCGCCGAATTGCCCTTCTGTGATGTCCAAGGATAAAAATGAAGAGAAAAGCAGAGGCCAGAGCCAGTGACCAGCTCCAGCAGACCAGCCCTGCTCCTCCCCAGGCATAACGAATCGAGTCAGCCTGCCTGAGTGCTTTCATTGTCAAGGCGGGTGTTTAATGTCAGGTGTGCAGGAAATTGACTTAGCACGTTCCCTGTTTTTTCTATGCATAATTTTTTTGTTTACCCAAGAATATTTTTGCTGAGCCTGCCCAATATCCTCTTTTCACAACATGGATTACTGGCTACAAGAACTATTCCCTTACCTTCCAGAAATCCCATACTCCCCAGAATTTGCTGGCACGGTATTTAATTGTGACCTCCTCTCCCCTGACCTGTGTAAGCATCTCTGTATCCTTTCGGTTTTAATATTTGCTCTGCCAAAAGCAGCCCTCAGACATGCAAAAGGTCTGACAGGGTTCTCTCCACATCCATTCCAGTATGTAAAGAGAACATGAATATTTCAGGAAAAGCAAGAACATGACTCCTTCCGTGTGAAATTTCAGATGTGATTATAAATATGGGAGAGTCCTATAGGATGAGCCACTAGAAATAAACTTTATGGAAAAGGTTCACTAACCTCCTTTAAAAGAATAAGGGATTGCAGCATGTTACAAAAGGACAGCTTGGGTTTTTTACTAACAAATATCAGCAAAGCCTTCTTGAATTCACTATGTATTCAAACCTCTGACATGCTTTGTGATTTTCTTTGGTTTCTTTCTGTCCAAGGTAACCGGGAAATTGCGTTCAGAATGAGTTCATTTATGATCAGGCTTAAAGTTGCCCAAGCTGAGGTCATTTTCCCCGTAGTCATAAAGCAAAATGTTTTTTTCTTAAGACTTCATAGGCACTTACAGGATCTGTACTGTCTTTTGAATATAATTGGAAGCTTTGAATCCTTGAAAAGCAAACCTGTTCTCTTCATAAAAAATGCTAACCACCTGTGCCCATGGATTGAAATCACCTGGCTGCAACAGTTCATTTCCACCCCCCCCCCCCAACTCAGAAGAGAACCATTATGGTTTAGAGAGGAAATGCAGAATGGTGAAATCCACCAGAGAAATCGTACTTATCGAAACAGGCCGGGGCCTGCATGTGTGCAGATAAATCATTTAGTATTGTGTAAATAAAGCTGCAGCCTCTACTTCACAGGGATGGTGTGGGATTTTGGCAGAGGGAAGTAGGACAGTGAAGGAGTGGGAAGGCTATGCTGATTTTCCTATCAGCTTAAGGGATCTATCTCAGCAAGAATCTTTTTTTCTGCTAACGGAATTCTGTATGTGCTAAACACATCGAACAAACCATTAAAAAGCAAAGAAACAAACAAATAATCTCCTTCTCGTTCTGAAACACTAATGGTGGGCAAGTCTTAGACCAACATCTCTGGTGGCTTCGTTTGAAACTGTTGAGCTTAGCTAACGAGTATAACCAGTTATCCAGCTACACCTCACTTCTCCCAACTCTTCCCAAGGCCGCCTGGCAAACCAGGTTGATCTGATCATCTAAACTTGCTGGATCCTAAATATTTCATTAAAACCTTGCGTTCATGTTAAAGTCGATGAAATGAGGAGGGAGTGCATCATTCATGTCTCAGTGGCTTTTTCTTTGGGGTTCCACCTCTTTATCAGATCTTGCCTGAGACTGTGCCCCAGTTCAACCTTGGAAGTGGGAAGAATAGGAACAGATAACTGTTGACTTGACAGCCCCATCAAACCCACCTCAAGAGAGACCCCCTGGCCTGGAGTGCTTTGTAGGAAGCTGGTCCGAAGGCCCCCTGAACTCCTGCCTGGCCTTCCCGGATGCCGCAGGACAGACTCAAAGGAGCCCCCATGGAGGCAGGTTGTTCTCCCTCCTTCCCTGCTCCACTGGGGAAGACAGAAAGCCCACAAATTCGAAGCAGGTCATAGATCTGCGAAAGGTTCTAGGAACTTAATTTGTAGACTTTGATGAATATTTCGAAAGTCGGGAGCCTTTGTTAAAAACTATGTTCAATGGGAGGGTCGGGGGGCGGAGATGAAGACGCAGAGGAGGAAGAGGAGGAGGAAGCCCTTGCCATATAAAATTCATGCAGACTAAACAGTTTCCCTGATAGAATAAATAAAGCGGATGCTCCCCTTCTCCAGAATCAAAAGCAATTTAATTAAAGTCTCTTAAGTTGTAAAGAGTTTTAAATGTTCCAGGGTGAAGGCGAATGCCTGCAAATGCAGCAGGCTTGACGTCAGCTGCCAGGCCTGGGCCGGGAGGCCATTTGCTATTCTGTTTAAGGCAGGCTGGATTGTCTTATTTTGGAACCAGCTTGGTGGGGGGTTTGCTTTGCTACTGCTTCTGAGCCCTGAGCTTCAAAGGCAGAAATTAATGGTGAACAAAATTGTGCGGCTCTGGCCGTCCCATGCGGGGCAAGCCCATTGAGGGTTATCATTAAGTAAAGAAATAAAGAGGGGGGAAAAAGCCTGCCTATTCCAGAAACCTCATCAGATAATGACCTCAGTGATTGGGTTTTCATTACCAAACAGCATCCAGAGATTATCTACCCCCTGGAAGAAGGGAGGGGGAAGAAAAGAAAGAAAGAAAAGCAACTCTCTTTCTCTCCCTCTCTTCCTCCTTTTTTTTTTTTTTTTTTTTGCACATCTTTTCTTTAAAACTGTCAGATCATTTCAGTATTTCAAATCCGAGGAAAACAGCCTGCCTGCTGCTGTATTTGAAGTTGTAATGGTGTCAAAAAGTCACGACTGACTGACAGCCGTCAGTCCCAGAGGGGCTCATTAAATCATAAAAACTTGACAAGGAAATAATTGCGCATCGCTAGCAACTTGGCGCCTGTTTAGACGTTTTTATTTTCTTTCATTATTAGTCCCCACCATTACGTTCATTAACAAATTGCATTAAACAACTGTTAAGGGCTAATGATTTGTTTATCGCTTTTTTTATTATTATTATTTAAACATTAGCTGTGTCATGTGGTACCCCGGCAGCCTCTTGCCATCATCTGACTGAATATTTTTCCACTCCAAGCTCTGGGTACTGTTGGAATATGAAATAGATTATTCATTACTCTCCTCTTTGCCACTGATTTGGTTTCATGTAGCGTCTTCCACAGAGAAAGATGAAAACTTGTCAAAAATAGGTTATATCTTATTCGAAGGGGCAACAATAGCAGCAGGTACAGGCACATTTAATATTTAATTAAGGTGGATGTTAACCCCTTTAAATGACTTTAGCTGTAATTCTATTCAGATGCAGAGGAGAAAAATAATTGTTCTTAATTTGCAACCTATTCAGCAGACATTCTTCATGGAGTTAGGTGGAAATTTAGAGTAGAATTTTTAAATAATGAAATTTCCCATCATACATATTTATAGCCGTTTGTCTACGTAGTTGAGAATTAACTACAAGCAATGATTTCCTCATCTCTGGTTTGAACTGCTAGCCTAGTGGGGCACTCGGTGCTTAGGATGGAGATGGCTTTCCTGGGAGAAATGTGTATCCAGAGCCCAGGACAGTTGGTTGGTTGTGATTGAGGCTGGTTTCAAAGGAACCACTGTGAGTCCCCTGTCTCTGGTCCACTTGCCTCTCCCTTTAGCTGAGTGTGTGGTTGGAGGACTGTGGTCTGAAGTGAGAGTAAGTAGGAACTTCTTAAAGGAACACTTGTGTGTCTGGTTGGCTGGTGCAGGGAAGCTGTGATGGGGAGATGTCTGGGGCGTCTCTGTGTAGTCAATGAGCTCATTGCAGACAGTGCTTGCCTAATAGACAACAGGAGCCATGCTTTGCTGGGATTGACCTTCTGCCTTTTTTCCTTTCTGTGACTTGCCATTGGTGAAATGATCAACTTTTCCATGGGCTATGAGCGTGACGGAAAAAGCTCCATCATCATCATCATCATCATCCCAAGTCAGAAGTCAATGGCATTCTCCATGCTGTAACTGCTGGCTGCATCGGGTCACCCTGTTTGATTCAATGAGTTCACGTAACCATGGAAGCCGCTCTCAGAGGCCTGATTCATTGGTACTTCAGGGCTGGGGTGTTCTGGTCAATATCAGGAAACAGGGAGTACTTTCTCCCAGCCTGTTTCTACTCCCACCCACTCATCCCCCAGAGAGACCAGACCCCTTGGGCAGCTATGCCATGGATGTGAAGGGGAGAGATGGTACATGTTCCTTGCTCAGCACAGCATCTCTCAGCATCACCCACCCAAGGACAGATGATCCTACAGGTGCTGTCACACAGGAGGGGCCAATCCAGCAGGCATGAGCCAAGTGAGGCCTGGCCTCAATCCTCTTACCTCACTGTAGGTATAGAAACAACAGACACACCAGGGTCTAGGGAGTCTCAAGTCTCCATTTCAGTCCACTCCAAATTAGCCACATGACAACTTGCCACCTTTAAGATGGCCTCCACACCTCAGCAGAAGGCACACTCAGAGTTGTTTGTCCAGAAGGAAGGAGGACTCTGTGGTAAGCCATCCCCAGTCCAACTCCCAGAGACTGATTGAGGATACTGCCTGAGAAGAGACACCAACCCTGAACTTGACCTCTGCCTGTGGTGTAACTCACTAAACTTAAACTAAACCCCAGGAAACATTCTTGTTTATGTGGCTTTATTCTGCCTGCAGCCCATTGGGCTCAAACCAGTGGTTCTGCCAGAGGCTGTTCACATTATGTGACTAGTCAGGTGGCTCTTAGACAAGATGTCAACCTTTTTAAAATGGGGCAGATGACTGTGTGGACAGCTCAGAAAAGTTCTTGAAGCCACAGGCACTGCACGCAAGAAGGGAGACATTGAAGGGTAACCAAGAGCAGCCAGGCACAGGCAGGAGAATCGTGGGTGTGATTGGAGCCGAGGCTGGATACAGGGTCTCGAAATGGGTGATTGAGCCAGGGTCAGTGTCCCCTCCTGTTGTGGAGGAGGGAAGACACAGGGAGTACTGAGAGAGACTGCCCATCTCTGCTAAGATTCTAGGTCAATAACAAGGTGAATGCTCCAGAGCCAGCTTACCAGAGGCAAGTAGGGCAAAAACAAAATGGCAGGGCAAACCAGAATGGTGGGGCAAACCCAAAATGGCAGGACGACTGGATTGGGAATGTATGAGGAGGTGAGGAACAGATGGTGTGCAGGTTAAGGATGGATTCCCCAGCACCAGAGGTTAGGAGATGGTAAGTGGGGTTCATCCCAGGGAATACCAAGAGGGAGGGGCGCAGGAAAGTAGCCCCACTTTGTGCCACCCTGGGCCCATCATTGCCTTCTTCAGGAGAAGCCAAAGGAGGGAAAAGGCAGGGCGCATCTCTCCCAGGACCCCCGCCCAAATCACACACAACCCCTGTTGCGATGCCTCGCGGGGCTCCCAGCACGATGTGGGGAAAGCACTTTCTCATCCTGAATCACCTCGTTGCTCACGCTACATAAGTAACGAAGGCCTCGCAGAGAGAGGGGGAAATGCCAGGAAGCAGAGCTCTGGACTGTGATTCTGTGAACTCGTGCATCCCCTCCTTCCCTTCATCCAAACAAGGCCCTGTGGCGTGAATAATAGCTCAGCGGCCCGAAGCCCGTATTGATCGGCTGCACACGCCGCCGCTCCGCTGAGAGCTGCTTGGACTTTTCCTGGGGGCAGGACGGGCACCACTCGGTGCAGCCCACCTCCCCGCACTTCCCCCGGCCTCCCCCAGGTGTGCTCAGGAGGGCACAGTACCGGGGGGGAGCTAAGGCCCTTCTCCAGCTCAGTGCTTTGTTGCCTCAACTTTTTTGTTTTTAACTTATTTTGCCAGGAAAAGTACTTGAGTTGGAAAGAAATGTTTTTTGCGTGATGAGGCCCCACAGAGTTGAGAATGACTATATCCTCAGGCTCCAGCTTCCTCCAGAAGGTTCTGCCAAAGACCCAGGCCACAGAAGCATCCTCAGCTGACACTTAGGGAGGCCTACTGTATGCCCAGCATTGGGCTAAGCACTTTGGCGCACCGTACTGCATTTTCCTGTTCACTTGCCCTGTCTTACACCATCAGAAGGGAGAGGAGCCGAGAATGTGGCTAGAATCCATCACCCTCTTGGGGAATGGGAGCTGCTGCTAAATTCAGTGGAGAAGCGTCAGCCGTAGGCTGGTGAACACGCAGAGACTGAAGCCTGCTAGCCCCCCTCCCTAAGGCTCTGACCACACTATCCCCTTCCCTTGTTCGATTCTTTTTTGGACACGAAGTGGCCAAGGCCTTAGTCCTCTGCGGGATGTACAACTGGAAGGTGAGCCAGGCCCCTGTGTGGTGACACCCTACAGGCTGGTAGATGCCTGAAATCCCACCTTTAAAGATTCACTCCTTTGGTTTCTAACCTTGAACCCT